TTCGCCGTTTCCAGGTGGTAGTGGACTGCGTTAAGGTTTGAATGAAGTTCCCTGATGTTGCAGAAATTCACGGATAGCGTGGCAGGGGTCGCCTTTGACTTATTGCTCCATTTGCCCCGAGCAGGTTTAGTCTAGAACGGAATTTTGCACCCCCCCCCCCAAAATACGTGGGTCAGCCTGAGTACCCACGCTCAGGAGTGGAGTAGCTAGGTCGTGGATGCTCAGCGAGGGATTCTCCAGAGGTGCTGGACCCTGCTGGGGTAGTCTTGCATATAATTCCGCTACCATATTGATGGGGGGAGGGGGTTGGGCCCAAATTATTACAATGCATTGCCTTGCCGACGCAGGCAGGGTCATAACCATTAAAAAAAGAACTTGAAGAATGTAACCCCGTTTATAAGATCATAAATAACAATAATATTTAAGAAAACGAGGGATGCCGAATGCGACGGTGTTAGGTCTCGACTGACTATGGTCCAGATGATGAAAAAACCTCTACCGCATTCACAATGACTAGAAAGCTGTGTCAGTGTGTATTTACTACTAAGCAATATTTCTGGGGTGGTCTGTAATATGAAACAATATTACATAGAGAAATCCCGAGCATAGCCTTCTCCATAGTTCGCTGAGCGACCTTGAGCTTCCTCATATGGCCAGCAGTGAAGGACCACGTCTTAGATCCATAAGTCATCACTGGCAACACGCACTGTGTTGTGGTTCAAGTGTTGAGGTATGCCTGACGAGATGTACTGTAATCTCCCGAACGCTGCTCAGGTGAGTTAAATCTGTCGATTGATCTTTCGGTCGAAGTTGGACTTACCCAGTCAGACTATTTGTCCCAGATAAACATACTCAGCAAAAACTTGGAGCTTAGTGTTCCCAATAACTACTGGCATAGGTGTGACGTGGACGTTACACATTATCTTTGTTTTGTCCATGTTCGTTTTAAGAACTATCCGTTGGGAGGTACTATTGAGGTCATTAAGCATAGTGCTTAGGTCCTCCAGCGATTCTGCCGTAAGGACTATATCGTCGGCGAATCGAAAGCGAGTGATGTGTCATCTTAATACCATATCATTTCTAGTCCATTAGCTTAAAAACGTCCTCCATTGTAGCGGTGAAGAGTTTTGAGTTTTGGGGATATAACGTCACCCTTTCTTACACCTCTCTGCAGTTTGATAACTTTCGTACTCTGGTTTTGTACTCGGATTGCCATCGTAGCCCTACTGAACACTAGCACTTCAAATTCAAATTCATTTATTTGCCAGTATGTATGTGTACAATAAAGTATGATCTTAAATTACATTCTAGTGGCCTCTGGCCCATTTACATTCTACCACTTTATATGGTGTGCAAATGCAAATATTTTATATGTATACATGCAAAAAACAATTAACAACATGTGAGAATTAAATTTCGTACATTTAAGATTAATTGATGTCAATATCATGTCATTTAATAGGTTTTAAAATGTCACATTATGTAATGATTGTTCTTAATTGTTAACGTCCATACTTTCAGTTTATTTGTAATTAATTAATGATTAGATATAAGTATATCAATATTACTGACTTCAGATTTATTTTCCACAAAAAGACATAAATTCATTTAGGTCGTAAAAACATTTTTCTTTTAACCATTGTATCAACTTTTTTTAACATGGTTAAAGGTAACTCTTTAAAGTCGTTGGGTATTTTGTTATACACCTTTATAGCATTTAAGTAAGAGTTCCTTTCAAACAATTTGAGCCTGCATTGAGGTAAGTATAATTTATGTTTATTTCTAGGAGCTACATTTCGTTCAGTTATATCTATATGCCTTTCAAAATGTTCAGGATGTTGTTTTACAAATATGCATATTTCTTTAATGTACAAGCATGTTAATGTCAAGATATTGTACTTTTTAAACAAGGGCTTACAGCTATCCGTATACCCTGCTCCATAGATTGCACGCACACATTTTTTGTACTCTATATACCTTTATTATATCTACAGAATTGCCCCACAATAAAAGACCATATGATAGTACTGACGAAACATATCCGTGATATGCACATAGAGCAGCATTAGTTGATACCCGTGACTCGTAATCTTTTTATTGCGTAGACAAATCTGTCGAGTTTGTCACAAACGTTATCGACATGTGTTTTCCAGTCGCAATTTTGATCCAACATTATACCCAGAAATTTAGTACTTGCTACTTGTTCGATGATCTTATCATTATATTTAACATTAATATTCAATAGTTTTCTTTGATGTCTGAAATTGGATCATTTTAGTTTTTTTTTTTCATATTAATCTGTAAATTATTACAATAAAGCCAATCTATATGTTTTTGATTGCTTTATTTATCTTTATTTCATATGTATCTGCATTTTCACATTTCACGATAAGGGTTATGTCATCAGCAAACAAGATTGTGTTATGGCGAGTAATATTAGGGAGATCATTAATATACATGAGGAATAAGAATGGTCCCAATACACTGCCTTGTGGCACGCCAGTCATTTATCTGATTGTCGCTTCTATACACTTTTTTGTCTTTATTGACTTTAGATATTTCCACACATTGTTGTCTCTCACATAAATTTACCTCTTATTCCATATTTTTCTAATTTGTGTAAGAGCAATTTATGATCCACGAAATCGAACGCCTTGCTCATGTCCGGGAAGATTGCCGCAACTGGAAGGCCAAAGTTATTTATAGCCTGGGTGACTATTTTAATCAAATTAAAACATGCTAACGAGGTTGTACTATTCTGTTTGAATCCAAATTGCTCCTCCTTAAGTAAACGATGACTAGTCGTAAATTCTTGAAGCCTTCTCAGCATAATCTTCTCGAATATTTTTGACAATATGGGTATCCGCGTCACTGACCTATAATTATTCATTTCGTATTTTTCGCCTTTCTTAAAAAGTGGCTTAACGATTGATTTTTTTTTTTCAATATATTTGGAAAGGTACCTTCTTCAAAAGACATATTAATTAAATAATATAGCGGTTGACATATGTATCGTGCGGATAATTTAATTGCAGTGGATGTTATGTTAAATATTCGATATATCGATTCTAACTTGCTTACCGCAATACACATTCAGGGTCTTATTACTATTATTTTATATATTAACAAATTTGTTGGCCTTAAGTTAAATATAAACCAGAAAGACTTATTGATTGCTGAAGTGTGGGTGACATCCAGAGGCGGATAAGCAGAAATCGGCAGCGCTCTAGGCTAGCACCTCATTTAGCAAATATACTATCTTAATATATATAAATTACGTATCACGTTGTTTGTCCGCAATGGACTCTCTAAACTACTTAACCGATTTTAATCAAATTTGCAAACCGTGTTCTGTTTGATCCAACTTGAGAGATAGGATAGTTATTTTGCGCATGAGTGACCCACAATTTTTTTTTGCGAATATAAGAATTTTTAATAGGACATGCATGACAAATGGTCGTCGAAAAGGGCAGAACAACGTCTGCCTGGCTAGCTAGTATTATATATATAATAATACTAGCTAGCTAGCTAGCTAGTTGCTAAATCATTAGGACACGAATATCCTGACAGTTGTGGAACAAAGATCTTTATTTCTATTTACTTATTTGTCCTTGTCAATATTTTCATCAAAAATTTTAAAGCTTATTTACCTACATAAAGTGAATTACGACTGATCAATAGTTGACTTATATTATTTATTGAAAATTAAATTTTAAAATAAATATGTGTATTAGTTTGAAATTTTATAAGTTAATTATTAATAATCTATAGATTGTGTATGTACCTAATATAAATATTGTAATTTAATCTTAGAGTAATTACATGCATACGTAATTTAATTTATTTCTATATTAATCAACATTTAAACTCTGTCTTAATATGCCATGCCCTTACAGGGCTGTCACATGTTCTGTAAATATAATGTACCAACTTTATGACATGCACTAAAGAATAATGAATAAAACATGTGACGGAGAGAGTGAGGGTTATTGAAGAAAAACAAATATACGATTTTTTGGATGTTTAAAGCTTCCCACGCGTGCGCCATTTTAACCTTGCGCCTGTAGCCATGTACCTATGTTTGCCCTATGGATAATCCGCCACTGGTGACATCTCAAAAAACCGCATATAATATTTTTGAGGCTCATTTAGGTATGGTAATTGGTATTTATTTATAGAGAATTAAATATATTTATTCCGATTACAAATCTTTTATTTTATATGTTTGTAGTATGGTAATTGGTATTTATTTATAGAGAATTAAAAACATTTATTCCGATTACAAATCTTTTATTTTATATGTTGTATAATACTTAAACACTAAACAGCAAAGCTAAAATTACAATACTGGCATGGGAATATTTTATAGAAAGGCACTTAAATCACAGTAATTAATCTTATTATTATTATTTCCGTCGATTTTTTTCATTTTATATTTTTTGGCGCAACTGACGATTTTGAACCTTTTTACACTGCTTTTTAGCCCATTTAAATGTTTTACGACTAGTCATATCACCCATTTACTTTCAGAAAGGTTATAAAAATTCTTGGTGGAAGATTAAAACAAAAAAAAGGCTCTTAAAATAGATATTGTTACATATTACATTAACTTCAGAAATTGTCACATAAAATTTGGACCTGTTTGTAAAAAATATAGACTGGTGGCAGTAAAACAATGACTACACTCTTTTGAGATCCATGGTATTATGACTTCATACTTTTCGTTAAATGAAGTACTAGCGAAATAATAGCAAATACACACTAGGAACATGTAAATAATAAACAGTGTCTTAAACCCATACACTTTTCAGAAAAATCGGTGACGAAAATGTCACATGATCACTTATATAAAATTCATATTACATAATGTAATTTCAGGAACCGTTTGGCAAAATTTTGGCTTACAAAAATATACCCTATCAAGTATTTTATTTCTAGTGGCAAAAATGGAACTTTATACATCATATTATCTTACAAATACAAATAAATTAATATTTGAGCTACACTTTATGTTTTAATTTTGTGTTAAACTTTGGTGGACTTAACACTTGTTTAGTAAACAGGTATCTTTTTTCTTTCAAATGTTTTGGTGGTAAATCTGAAATAATTGAACTAGATATGGATTTTGTGTCAGTGGAAGTAATTTTTTGATGTGTTTGGGATATTAAATCATCCACAATTTTATTCGTAACATCAAGCTGATTTTTTACATGATTATCAGGCAGGTTCAACATATTCTCTGAATGATTGCATAAATTTTCTTCATCTGAATGTAAGTTTACCCTAGGTTCAAATCGTTCTCTAAGAAGAGAAAATTTTCTTCTTGGTTTACTTCGTACACTTCTCTTAATATTAGAAATTTTGCTTGTAGATGTATTCATAAATGAAGTAGATGCATCCTTATGTATAAGAGATTGAAGTGAAGGCGTTTTTCGACTTAAAGTTAAATCTTCGCTTGAACTAGGTGGCACAGAACTTTCTGAAACCATTTGCCATAAGAAGTCAATATTTTTATTTGGTAAATCTTGTTGTTCAGGTTTATTATTAATTCTAGTCTGAGATTTAGATTTTACTAAATTAGACTTTTGCCGTCGGGCTGAACTTTTATTGTATAACATTTGCGAATTTAGCGACGATGACGACGGCAATAGATTAAGTTCTTTTTTATTTGTATCAAATTTAGATCCATTGATGATGTCTAAAATATTTTCTTTTTCAGGCAACGCCTCCATTGTATTGCTGAAGTTAAATTTTGAAGGCTCTTTCCAAAGTGCTTTCTTCAAATTATTTTCAATTTTGGAAGAAGAATGAAACGGTGGCACATCTAAAAGTTTTTCCCTTCTGTGACACAGGTTTCTTGGGGAACTAGACACAGTTGATTTGCGAATTTCGTCTATGGTGGCTACAAGGGAACTTTCAGAATTAAGTCTTTTTTTGCAAGCTGGATCTATGTCACCTAAATCATCGAGTTCCTCTAAGATGGGTTCTAGGTGATTCGGGTCCTTACCATTTTCTATTATACATGGTTTAGCTAAGAAAGTTTCGTCGTTGGATTGGCAAACGACAGAATTTGCATAATCTTCTTGTGAGCTCCTATCAAACTTAACAAATACGTTAGAATATGTGTGTGTTTTTTTCGGAAATGGTGGTGCAGATAATATTGCGCTTTTTAATTCTTGGGAGATACAGCTACTGATTTCTGAACTTCCAGATGTTAGGGTATCTCGGCTCCGGTCTCTTACAACACTGCCATCATGAAGCCAATTCTCGATATCACAATATCCATTCCAAGAACGGAGTCCCCAAGCTTCTCTAGCAATATTTACAGCACAAATGTTTTCATAATCATGCACTGACAAAACTTCAGTAGGAGTATCTAAATCGCGTGGTTTAGCGGCAGTGAGTATATCGGCACTAATACCGTTCTTTTTCTTATCTTTTTTTGCATACATTTCCTTAAGTATATCGAGAGCTATTCTTTGAATGTTCTCTATGTCTGCATCTTGATTTCCTACTTTGATATTTTTCAAAGCACTTAAACACAACTTTTGTACAATATTTTCATTAAAGGTATTAATGTCAGAACTGTTTATATCACTAAAACTTAAGTCCAAGTCCATATCAATAGAGTCTGAGGATGTTTTTTTGTTGGATCCATCGGTATCATGACTAATAACGGAGCTATGATCAGTTTTAATAGCTTTCGCAAATTCTTCATTAACAATATTACATGCTTCTAAATTTAAATTACTCAACTCATTTCTTAGCTCATCTGAGGAACAAATTCCTCTACGTTTTTGCAAATTTAGAGTAAAGAAAATAGACGTAATCTCGTCGATAGAATTTTCTATATATTCTAAAGAAGGTACTTTTAAAGAATGATCAGTAGGAGGTCCTATTTTCTTTTTATTGGCTTGTGAATTAATTAGCTCACTGTTAGAATTTTCGCGCTTTGTAGTGGAAGAATGTAGCGTGTTTTCTACTGTATAAACATGTATACTACATGCATCAGTGCTATTTCCAACAGGTGCAGATGTAAATGTTGGTGATCCAGATCTGGCAATCCAGTGGTCGAGCAAAAATTTTTTATCGGCTTGCTCATTCTCAACTTGGGTTACTTGTTCTGATACAGGAGAATCTTTTCTACAAAATAATATTTATTTAATAATTAATAAAACTGCACATAGGAAATAAATACATACATTTCATAATGATTACCCAAGAGCTTCAGTAGTTTTCTCTTTATTCTGGCTTTTAAAAGATCTAACATGGTTCAAGGAATTGATCTTATTAGTATTAATACCAGTAGAGTTGGAAACAACTTTGTTGTTTAATTCAATATCTGCTTCAGCATATTTCCAAGTAATTGGTCCTTTCGAATGAAAGTATCTGTAGTATAGTACCATTGCAATCATACCTGTAAAGGAAAGTTTATATTCACAAAAAATAAAATTATCGTAGCTGAAAAATTAACAGTTTAATGATTTTTATATGTGGTAGAGCCATTTTGCAGCCATATTATGGTTGCAGCCCGACTGCATTCACTGACCAAATTGCACAGGTTAAATGACATAGGCCTCAATGCCACAAAACACGGTACTTAGGGATTGTTCGATGATCATCGATGTTCGATGTTAAAAATTAAAACATTGATGTTGCCACAGGTCAAAAATCGAAACATCAATGTCAATGAACCCATAATCCTTAAATAATTATCGGAAGGTTATTGTGAAAAGCTGGCTCAAATCTTTATTAACTGAGGAACAGATAGAAAGGTACTTCTTAGTCAAAATTACTACTTCTTTATTTAATCAGCAAAAAATATTAGATTGAATAACAAATGAACCAGTAATTTGCTAACAAATTCCAATTTTTTTTAATTACTGTTTTAACTAAGTAGATCGTTTATTAATTTCTTTTATTTCATTAATAATAAACCATGTATACAACATGTCTATTTTTTTATTGATCTAATTCTAACCTATTAAATACATGTGCAAAAACTTCGATAATGTTCAACCTCGATGTTTTGAGTAGGACAAACATCTAATATCGATGTTGAGCTATCGATGCCAACATCGATGTCATCGTCAATGTTTCTGGAACATCGATCATCCCTAACGGTACTATGACGGTCTGGGATGACCCCATCTATATATAAAAATTTGCAATTGCTGTCTGTTAGCCTCGCTAAAACTCAAAAACGGTACAGAGACACCTGTATCGACTTCCTGCATGTCTCACCATATAGTCACTGCATCTAGTCGAGACGGTCAAACGGGAACCTTTCTTTCCCTTAATTAAATTAATTATTATTTTTGGTCGACATTACCATTCCGTATGACGAGAACCTCGTGAAAACCGAAACAGATAAACGAACACAATATCTGGACCTGGTCACGAGGTGACCGACATGTGGGGTGGTCTGCCGACTGAAATTATTCCTGTAGTCGTTTCTGCAAACGGGCTAATCCCAGTCAGCCTCTCGGGTCAACTGAGGAGGCTGGGACTCCGTGACGGACTGCTTCAGACTCAAATGCAGAAGGCGGTGCTCCTCGATACCGCCCGCATCGTCTGCCGGTTTCTCTCCCTTTCCCCCTAACCCTTAGGCCATTTGGTCTCCCCTGCCGAGGGCCTCCATCTGGTTGGGCTTTTATTTATTTATGTATTATTTATTTATTTGTGCTGGTATATGAAATATATATTTATGTATATTTATCATTTCCTTTTATATATTTATTCAGCCCAACCAGATGAGAATACACTACTAATACCCCAAAATAATAATAATAATAACTGTGAACATTCTCATTTTGAATTTTATCATGCATAAAAACTCCGAGCATAACCTTCTCCATAGCTCGCGGGGCGGCGTTAGGCATCATCATCCAAATGGCAGTGAGTAACCATGTTTCAGGTAAATATAACATCATTGGCAACTAAAACTAGATCATAAGGAGAAAGAATTTATAAAGGACTTACCAAAGATAGTACCAGCAATTATACAGACTGTAGCAGCAATAGACCATGGTTTTCTTTGTTTTTCGGCATCTACTATTAAAACATACAGGAATAAACTACCAAAGTTTTGCGTGACCATTAATGTATAAAACATCATAAGACGATATCGTGTCTGGCCTTCACGTAAATTTATAAAAGAAAAGCAGTAAACAAATCCCATAACAGCATTATAAAGCGTTTCTTCTAGCTTGTTAGGACAAAAAGTAGTTTTTTGGATTACAATCCAAAATGTCATAGCGGCCCAGTGCAAACCTGAAAATAATAACATTAAATATTGTCTACAAAACTAAAGCAAACAAAATTACGTGGCTGATATTATGTTTTGTGTTTATCTTAAGTTAAATTAACCTTTAATAGTTTTATGTAAATAATTTTAGGGACTTTGCTTATTTTCAGTCAGTCCTACTGTAGCTTATAACTAAATAACCCAGAACAATTTATAATACTATTAATTACTATTCACTTACATTACAAATTTTGTTAGCTTTATTCACCAAGTATCTTATGATAGACAATATGATACGATACGACTTACACGATGACTATTTCCTCACTCTCATAGTCCGTTTGGACGGCAACCCTTTTATGTGCTTTCCGAGGCACGGGCATGAAGCACCGCCAATATCCTGAACCGATCGGGATTCAAACCCGGATCGGGCTTACGACCACTAGATCATCGAGACAGTCTATTATCAAAATATCGCCAATTATTTATACTACTACTTAAAATAAACTTGAGTCTAGGTTATTCCTTGCACAGCTCTATAACAGCTGGGCGAAAATTTATTATTATTTATACCTAAAAAATGCCATTGAAGTGCCCATCTTTAATATCGAAATAACTGACTTCTGTTGAGCTCGGGGTATTATTTTCATTTTTAAAATTTAACCATTTTTAAAGTTCGTGAGAGCCTACCACGGCTCTCAAAATTTTTCTTAGGGGCTAGATTCACAAATAATTATTTCGAAGACGTGAAGTTCTTCAACATGTATTAGGGCAATGCAACTGACATATTGTTGCCTTAAAACCCTCTCAGAATTGAAAGGAGGCCTGTGCCCAAGCAGTGGAATATATATAGGCTGTAACTTTAACTAACATTTTAAAATTATTGTGCATCAACCTGTTTGTGTGTCTGTCTAGGCTAATCATCGGTACGGCCGAGCCGATTATAATAAAAATTCACAAACAGATAGAGCAATGCAGGAGTGACCTGTGCTATATTTTATCCCAAAAACCTAATAGGATTTTATTTTTGAAAAATCGAAAAACTAAGAAAAGAAAGGGAATTTGATGATTATCTCAATACCTATAGGAGAATTAGCTGTGGTTAGGAAAAGAGGAGATCTCCCACCGGGCAAGGTGCCCAGAGCGGTCAATGCTGAATATGTTTGTACAGAGCTGTTCTATATATAGTGCAGTACTTCGGAATGTTGATAGCGTGATTTAGGCTTCGGTGTCTTTCGATTGTGGCGCGTGATTTGAACACGCAATGAACAACCTTCTAAAACCTCAATTTCAAGCTTTTGTCATCGTCCTCAAGTACCCCATCCATTCACTCCTGAGCTGAGATAAATCTAGCTTTACAAGATTTATCTCAGCACTGGAAAAATGCTTCCTGTTCCTTTGAGCTATTATCTGCGCTAGTGTTCGGCACGGCTCCGAACCTTACTCCTCACCTCCGCTTCACGGCACTCTCGCGGGTTACTTATCTTCTTCTCAACTCACCACAGACTACAAGGCAATCCACATTCGTCAACAACTAGACTGCACCATCGAACTTCGGTATGCGCGTGATTGTCGCGCCACAAGCGAAACATACCGAGGCCTAATGGACACAAACAAAGTTTCGAAGTACTGTGCGCGATATAGGTATAGAACAGCTCTGTACTAATACAACGAGCCTTGGCTGCTTTTTTAAGAATTTTATACAAAACAGGTTCTCAAACTTTAGATTCCACATCCTAAAGTCTTGATGCCAAATCCGTTTTTAACATTTTCTTTATTTTAAAACCATTTTACAGCAAAACGGAGTTAAAGGAAAATGTGACGACCTTTGGATAAAGTTTTTTTTATAGAATACGGGTGACAAAAAAGCACAATCCACCTCATGGTAAGTGAATGTTGCGGCCCATAAACATCTACATCTATCCTCGATTAAGAATCAAATTGCAGATGCGTTGTCACCCCTGAGGCCTAAGATAGAATGCCTCATTTTCAGTATAAAGGGCGACCAGTTTTCTACACTCACCATTTGAAACACAGCAGCCTTTAGCTGCTATTTTATGCTGGTCATACCACGGTCAAACCGACCTATTTGTGCCACAACTAATATAACTGCAGATGGCTCTACTACCTAAAAAATAGTTATGGAAATTCAAGTATAATTTCATTACACTTTTCTGCACATTTGTATATAAAACACTGACATCTAATATCATCATCATCATCATCATTACAGCCCTTTACAAGTCCACTGCTGAACATAGGCCTCCCACAAGTAATGCCACAAAGCACGGTCCTGAGCCACCTGCATTCATCGACTTCCTGCACGTCTTACCAGGTCGTCACTCCATCTAGTGGGGGGTCACCCTACACCACACCTACCGGTACGAGGCTGCCACTCAAGAAACTTTCTTCCCCATCATCTAATATACAAAATATAAAATAAACACTTTTTTTGCCTTGACATACTATTGAAAGCGGAACATTTGAAATCACACAAAATTCACAGCTTATTTGGTCTATCTGTCAGTAATTATTTGTTGGCAACATTTTAAAATTCTTTGGCGAAAATCATGAGATACATTGAGATATGAACTAACACAGCATTGTCAATTGCAATATGTGCCTTTTTTGACTCATTCTGACCGCTCACAATGGAATGAATAGTTCCGTTTACTCTGTGTTTTGCATTTGTCATTCTATATATTTATGTCATGTCTGTCATCCCTGTTAAACATACATCCTTAATATACAAACTCATTCACTTGCTTAACCAACTCCTTTTTTTCTATTCTTGTTTCACATAATGTTTTACTTTCTTATTTCAAAAACCATCACTTTCATATTACATGAGTTCAATTTCATCCCCATTTCTTTAGATGACCTCTTCATTAATATAAACATCATTTGTAACTCCAACACCTCTGGTTTTTAGCTTCTTCTCTGTGCACATGAATATAGAAAATACCTGATCAGTACACTCGATACTGTTTCTAAATTCAGTTTACACATCACAAATTTTTATATTAGTTTCTTTCACAACTCTTTCAATCTACACTTTAACATAAAACTTTTCCACAATGCTAAGCAGGCTGATTGCATGGTAATTTTTACAGTGCTGCTCCTGTTATACCGGTGCAAAGCCTCTATAATCCCCTTATATGGCACTATATTGTCTATGCACCAGTGTCCCGTAATCGCTTAAGTTACCAGCATAAATTAAAGAAAGTGAATGGGCAAGCCACCACTTCCTCTCCAGCCCCCAGCATTTCTACTTTGGAATTCATTAGACGAACGTCAACTCTATGTTACATATATTGTGGAGATTTTTCCATCATTATAACAATAAGGGGCCGTAATTCTTAACTGCATAGCATAATCAGAGATTAACGGAAAGGTACTATTTAGTGGCATTATTTATATTTAATATTAGTACAATTAAATTAATAAAAATCACAATTTTGTTTTACCTAAAACAAACAAAATAAATAATACTTACCCAATGGTAATAATGTCCATATACCAAATACTATAGAAAAAAGCAATATACCAGCAATTCTACCAGCCAACATGCCAAAGTGCCATATTACTTTTAGGAACAAAGAATTCCACTGGAATGTTTCGTTTGATATGGTTATAATACTGTAAATATATGTCACACTACCCCACACGACAGATGCTATTGATGCTGATAATGCAAACACTGAAATTGAAATAATTTTCTTTATTAATAAACAGCTACAGTTATGCTTAAATTGCCGGATATTCTTGTTAACCACTTGAACTAAAATGAAAATAGACATACTAAGAGAAGTTCACGACACTGCTTCCACAAAAATAGCACATCCACAGACTTGTGTGTACTCTCAAAACAATTGAAAAAAATGCGTCCACTTATAACTTTAGAATTAATGGTGTTTGAAAGGCAAACGTAAGAATCTTAGGGTTAAATATTTAAAATAAAGGCATTCATTGCTTTTTTAATGACTCCCAATATGAAGAATCCGAAAGTGATAAACTGACTGGTAGTACTTGCAGGGGGCACCAAAACCTCTCAGAAAAAATATATATAAAAGGAAGAACGGCAGAAGAGATGTAGTAGCTCAGGCAATTTTAGGTGCTAATTTACCTCATGCTTAGCGGTGAAAGAAAACATTGTGAGGAAACCTGCATGTATGAGCAATAGAAAATTATTCAAAGACATTGTCTGTTAAGCACACAGCAGCAGCATAAAGGACTAATTGAAAAGAAATGACAGGAGGCCTGTGCCCAACACTAGAACATTTATAAGCTAAGTATTTTTAAGGCTTTAACTTTAAATTTTTTATTTTATTAAGAATGAGACTTTAAAAAAACACCCGAATTAGGTGAACTTGATCATATTCTTAAGATTATTATAACTACAAATTAAGGCATAACTAATTGATTTTTTCCAAGAGTATTCATATATGTCGAATTTACTATTTTACATTACAATTTATGAACAGATATTGCAGTTTTATTCCTAAAAGCTTTAAAGATATTGGATCATTAGTTTTTATGACAAAGTGTTGATATCAGTGTTAAAGAAAAACCTGAAGCTCAACAAAAGCTCAAGCCCTAGTTGTAACCTAACTGAATCTAACATTGTATTCAAGTCTATCGCCAAATGTATCACATTAGTATTACATCAGCTACATGTTAAGACAAGTGAATATCTCAGTTTGCATAAATAACTTTACTACAAAAATTTCGCATAAGCTTACAATTATTCACAATGTGTCCAAAATTACAGTAAACCAAAAGACATAACTATTAACCGACTTCAAAAAGGAGGATGTACTCAATTCAAATGTATTTTTTTTAATGTGTGTTGTACCTCAGAACTTTTTTCTAGGTACACTGATTTTGATGATTCTTTTTTATTCGAAAGCTGGTCCTTCTCATGTGGTCCCATATAAATTTAATCAAGATCTGACCAGTAGTTTTTAGTCATCCTTAATAATGCATTTTAATTAACTTCAACTACATTGCTGACATTCTCATTTTATTTATATTGAAGTTGGTTGTACAAAATTTTTAATTTTACCACTTGTGATCAATATAAATCTTGTGAACATACATACCTTTTGTGTGATAGTTTTCATTTAACATTAATATAGCATATGTTTGCAGAATTATTTGTGGTATTGTTCCAATAAAAATATACAAATAGTGCAATAAGCTCAAGTCATTTCTTTGACTTATTAAGTTTTGTGTTTTTACAGATTCTAAGTTCTTGCATGTAAATACTTTTCTCAAAAATATTATATACCTGAAATAAATAGATATGTAAAATAAGGTAGTAGGTTAGCTTAAGTCCATGCTGAATGATAGTATATTATCAATCATTCTGCTATCTACCATCCAGGATATAGACCTATTTCAGTTATAGCAACATTATCAAAGGTACAATAAAACAGTTAGAAAAATCAATCTACCAGTTAAGCATCACAATAATTGCCAAACCACCTGTCATCATCATCATTACAGCCCTTCACAAGTCCACTGCCTATAGCCTTCCCCCAAGGTATGCCACAATCTCGAGTGGCAGCCTCATACCGGTAGGCGAAGTGTAGGTCGAACCCCCACTAGATGGAGTTACGACCTGGTAAGACATGCAGGAAGTAGATGGATGCAGGATGAAGGTGGCTCAGGAACCACCTGTGTTAGTAATTAATTCTAGGTAAATCAACAGATAGATTAAGCAAATTTTTAGGAGTAAAAGTAAACTTGTATTATTATAGACCCTTATTTTTAAACTTACAATTAAACTCATCAGTTTAGTTTTCTATTCATTATGTCATTGGTGAATTTTACTAAACTGAACAAAAAGCAGAAGAAGAATAGCCAATCCCTCCGTATTATAATAGAGCACTAGGAAGAGGGCAAAATTCACAATATTTCTGAACTAATGTAAATTTAAACATAATATGATTGTTTCTGTGACTATTACAGAAGTAAGTCAGATACGGGAGTATTATGTGAAAATAGCAAGACCGATTTTAATGAAATTATCCTTTTGTATAAATTATAATCTCACTTATAAATATAGTCTGGTTTTATTTCAATTGGTAAAGTATATCCAAGCCTAAAGATTGACAACTCCATACTAAGCTGTCTCATAGAAAGTGGGGATTATAATTATTTAGTTATCACTAATTTCAATTATAACTAAAGGTGGGCGAAACTGTTATATTTTCCTAATTCGTTAAGATGTTGTAATATATTTTTCTAACTGTTGTTTTAAACTGTTATATTATAACAGTTTAAAATATTACATTGTACATGTGGTTAGTTCAGTTCAGTTGTCGGCTGTGTTAGCGTTTTGTTGTATATTGGTGGTTACAAGGATTATAAATATGATTGATGATGGATGTGATAATATCAAACAGAACCCATTTGCTAAAAGAATATTTTGAAGTGTGTATTAGCATCCTTTGCAGTATTCCATGTTTTAAGTAATAGAACGACTGGCTTTTGACGACTCCGTGGCGCAGTGGCTCTTTAGCAATGAGTGGCTGCGCTGGGGGTCGCGGGTTCGACTCCGCACGGAACAAATATTTGTATGGCCTACAAATAGTTGTTCCGGGTCTGGATGTTTGTCCTTCGTGCAATTTATGTTTGTAAACTGCCCCCATCGATACAAGAGATATAAATATGATTAGTGTAGGGAGTACAACGCTTTGCTAAAAAAAAAAAAAACAAAAAAAAAAGAATCATTTCAAACATGTACGTCAAATTCAATGAACTTCCCTTCCAACTTTTTATAGGCATAGGACTGTCTGAATGTATGTTAAGCTGTATAATTATATACTCATATTTTCAAACATTTTAAGTATAAAATAACTCATTCAGGCATAGTCAGATGTTTATTGATATTATATACAACATGTAAAATCCTATCTATATTACACTAAATATTTACAATTACTTTAGGTATAAAACTTTAAGAAAAACAACAATAAATTCGTCATGTAATATGAATATGAAGCATCTGCTACCACAACATTACTTATATTATAACAGATAACAGTGTCATTGTCATCTCAGCTAGACAGCTAACTGAACACTAATATATTATAACAGCCAAAAAATTAAACAACAGGAAAAACAACAGCTAGCAATAAACGAAATACAAGCAAATAGATTTATCTTTATACTTTAATTGTTTGTAAAATAAGCTCTAAGAGTGTTGCCTTAGAGTTTAAATTAATGTGAACCATACATGACCCTTGTGCTGCTTCTCGACTGATGACGGTTAGACCTTAAACTAAACACAAATGATAGTTGTTACTGTTACTTTTGTTAGATGGGGCTTTCCAATGATAATGAATATAACAGTCAATGGTTGATTATTATAATGTGTTGTAAGATTATAAATATATAATGAATTATATTATCTGTTGTATGTTATAACATCCAACTTTAATTATAACACTCCTTACTCATTAAAAACCATGTAAATTTAATAAATGTGTGAAGTTGTTCTCTCTTTCTCTCTTTACTAAATGACATTAGAAAGTGACATAAATATAGAGATAATACCTTTATCGAGATTTAAGGACCCAAACAATTAATTGGATAAAAAAATAAAAGATAAAAAAGAAGCAAAAAACAAAAAAAACAAGACAAAAGGTTAAGTAATTATCTTTATATATTTGTATATAAACAATTATAAATAAGGCTAATAATTCCTACCATTTAAGCACAACATTGAAGACAAAAAAAATAATTTTACCTTTCTAATAGTCCAACAAGACACCCATGAGTTATCCAATGTTTAACAGTTGATTTATTATCTAAAATAAACCACCGCATTGAAAAAATATTTATTAAAATGTTAGGAGACAACATAAAAATAAAGGTAGCTAAAGCCCAATACAAATAACCATCTTTACAGTATTCAGCAAAAACTAGAACATCTGAAAACAAAAAATGATTCAATGAAATCAATCAAACTTTTATAGCATACCACAAAACAAAAACAGCATGAAACAACAATAAAAGAACAAGTTAAGAAGCTGAAGAATTTGGGAGCCTTTTCACAGAAGTTAAATAAACTATTTAATTCTAATAATTTTAAAATAGTACTAACAATACACAACTTTACTAGGCAGGGCTCTATTTATGACCTTTTTTTGCCATCATATGGTTAATTACTCATATGAGCAACAGAAGCAACATCAAAAATGTGAATGACATGTTATGTATTGTATCAGCCAACAAATGTTTGTAATTACAGTAAATACTGCATTGTGCTTACTGTGGCAGCTGCAGTGGTCTGTTTACAATATATTAAGGACATCTATAGGCTACCTTTTGCGGGTAAATAAGAAAGAATGCAAGTAACGTCAATATTTCAAAAAAGTGCTACCGAAACAGTAACAAATTACTTAAACTTCGACCTTACAAGCTAAGAGGTTAAGAGTTCATTTAATTTTTTATAAAAATTTACAATAATAATAAAAACAACAACAATACAATATTTAACAAACCAATAAAATCTTTGAACATAAATTAATCATCGTTCATATGAAAAAAATCTTTTAACTGCTTATTGAATTTAATAATGAAACATAAATAATATACCTGTTGTTAAATCTGCAAGTATTGTTACAAGTGATATGAACACACATAAAACATTGAACACACAAAAGTATTCATCGTCGTTAGTTTCAGTCTTCCTATTTATTGGGCTCCCGAGCCTGCAAGCCTCGGCCATTCTATCAATCAATGCACATATTTAGAACAAAGCACTACATTCATAAAAAGGTCATTTTTCTATTTAGTTTGCACTTTGCACCATTTGCGGCTCTATTTGTAAAACGGCCATTTCTAATATTTTGCCATAGATAAATAAACAAATAATATGTAGCATAGATAATAAACTTTATACCAGAGACGTAGACAGAGAAACCTACAATAAAAATAATATAATAATCGTAGACAGAGAATGCTAGGATTCTCTATCTACGATAATAATCACAAACTAATAAGAGTAATAATAATCATAGGTTTCTCTGTCTACGGATGATATGCATGATATTCCATGGAGTATGGAGCGTGGAGGTTAGAGAACAAGAGAACGATCGCTACGTGCTGTAAAAGAAAAGCATAGCCCGCCTGTCCCTGAAAATTTGTAAAATTTATAGCCGCGCTGCCGTCGGTAAGTTATTAGTATCTGCAAAGTAATTTTTTAATTATTGACAAAAAACACATTATAAAATAGTGAAATATTAATAAAAAAATAATAATAAATCAACAACAATTAATAATTTATATTTGTAATAATTTATAATATTTAAAATAATTAAAATTATAAAAAAGATAACTTATTTATTAATAAATAATAATAATAAACAATAATAATTCTATTATTTCCTTTTTTTCTTTGAAAGATATTATAAACATTTCAAACTAGGCACAACAGCCCACTTTTATTGAGACAACTTGGCGATCGCATCGCTTCACTTATTTTGTCCATATATCTGGGACACTAATTTCTACAGCGATCGTTTGCCTATTCTCTAGCCTCCGTGGTATGTAGCATGGAGGTTAGAAAACATGAGAAAGATCGCTATAGCCCGTTCACCGTAAGATGCCTTGGGAAATGGCAGCATTGTCTACGGTGCTGCCAACAATATATGGAGCATTTACCCCACTTGGTGGTTGCTGGAAAAATTATCTAAACTTGAAAACCCCTGATTAATATGTTTTACTTGCTTATTTAAATAATATACAGTTAGTTATAAGACTAGTAAAGTTGTGAATGATAACACAATTTAATTTTTAAATTATTTATTGATTTATTTTTTCCGACAATAATTATGGTCGAAAGGAACAATTCCAGACATACTCATATCACTGTCACTTTCATAAACGTCGTCATCATCATCTGTCGTATCCGAATCTGTGCTGCTGTCATTTCCTAATTCAACTATGAATTTATCAGTAATATCATCCATACAGCCATCAAGTACATAAAACTTGTCTTCTAAATTTTTTAAGTGTTCACACTGCTTTTGCCAATCCTGAGGGGTTATAGATGAAAAGCTTCTTCAGTTAACTTCACGATATTCCCAGCTTCTTGGCCGACATTATTGCTGGCTACTCGTCTCTTTAAAAGACTCCACATAAACTCAATCGCATTTAAATCGCAGTGGTAAGGGGTAACCTAACCACTTTATGGCCATAAGAAAGCAATAATTGGTCAGCCTCATAAATCGGCGCTTCTTTGTGCTCTTTTATAATTTCATAAGAAGTTTACATCAGCTTGCAATCAGCATTGTTGGTATATAAGACAATCCCTTATTTGTTATCCAATTTTGCATTTGAAGTTTTGAGGAACTCATAGTAGGTGCTTTATTTACTTGTACGGTATGATAGGGAGCGTTATCCATCACGACTAAGGAGTTCGGAGGCAAATTGGGTATAAGTTTCTCTGAAAGCCATTTTATAAAATTGGTTCTGTTCATGTCGTCATGGTAGTCCCCTGATTTACTCTGTGATTTAAAAATCAATTGAGCATTAGGAATAAACCCTATTTCTCCACCTGCATTAATAATTATCCACCGCGTTCCAATAGAATCACTTATTAGTACTCCGTCCTCCTCATCTTTATGCCAACACTTTTTCACTGCATACGATGCGTGAATATATGTTTCATCTAAGAAAACTATTGGCCGACCATCTGCTCGATTTTGCCTCATAGTAACGATATACTTGCGTCTCCATGCAACTATGTCGTGCCTTTCCATTAAAATTTTCCTTTTCGAACCACACTTTTTATACTGAAATCCAATTTGTTTTAAAATTTTCCACAAAGTCGTTCGACCTCCACCAAAGTTTAGGTCATTCTTTAATTCTACAAGTAATTTATTTAAAGTAGGAACAACTTTTTTTACAGCATACATTTCATGGATTTTGTTTCTTATTGCGCATAAATCGAAATCATCAAGATCCACCGTTTTACGTCTTTGACGGTGTTTTCCAGGAGACTTGAGGTTTTGAGATGTAGAGGCAGCAGCTTCACCTTCTTTAGATATTCTACCCACGGTTTTCTCCGACATGCCTGAAATAGACACCAAATTTGTATCATTTTATAAAATTAAATATTTATAAAAAATACAAATACAGACATTATCATAAAAAATAAATTAAATTAACTGAGATACGTACTTTTTTATTTTAATTCGTAACGTTAGTAATTTCTTATTATTACCCATACTAAAGGCATTTTGCATGAAGCTGGCATCCCTATTTTACTAACCTGTCATGGCGGGGACGCGAGTTCGCACTTGATTGAGTGTAATTAACGGGGCTTGGTTTGCATTTTCTCTCTCACAAAAGGCACGCACCTTCAACACAACCTCTCTTGCACTGCTTCTAAATGGTTTCGGCATAATTAATTCGGAATATTTTAAATAATAACACAAAAACGAGCGTTATAATCACAAACTGACAACAGATTGACAAGCAATAGTGCCAACATCACAGCAGGGGACATCTTACGGTGAACGGGCTATACGTGCTAAAGCGTAGCCCACCTGTCCCTGAAAATTTGTAGAATTTATAGCCTCGCTGTCGTCGGTAAGTACCTAGTATCCGCGAAGTAATTTTTATTTATTGACAAAAAGAAACATCATATAATGACAAAATATTATTAAAAAAAGAATAATAAATCAATAATAATTATTAGTTTATATTTGTAATAATTTATAATATTTATAATAATTAAAATTATAAAAAAACATTATTCATAATTTATTTATTAATAAATAATAATAATTACGTTATTTCCTTTTTTTTCTTAGAATGATATTATAATCATATCAAAATAGCACACAAGCACCCGCTTTTATTGAGACAACTTAGCGATTGCAGTGCCACGCTTATTTTGTCCATATTTCTAGAATATTTCTTTTCTCTAACCTCCATGGTATGGAGTGTAGAGGTAAGGAGTGCAGACTCTGTATAAAAAAGTGTCCGTAGGAAAGTGCTAAATAAGGGTGGTGCCACTGTAGCTACAGTCTAAATTTTAAAGAACTTTTTATAACTTTTTTATTGCACAGGCTTTCACCATAATTATTCTTTTTACAATAATTATTTTATTGATTTCAACATTTTTATTTTCAAAATCACACTCAACGTATTTAACGGCGATTTTCCATACCCTGTAGCTACTCGAGCACTGTTCTGGAAAGTTTTTGAACTGTTATTTACTGCTTACAGATGAACACATTTTCAACTATTCGACTATGGGAGATTGTCCTCTTACCTCTATACTTCATGCCACGGAGGTTAGAGAGAAGGAGAACGATCGCTACGTACTAAAGCATAGCTTGCCTGACCCTGAAAATTCGTCAGTAAGTAGTTATGCGAAGTTAGCTGTTTATGAGTACAAGTAGATAAAGTTTGTTGAATAATGTACAAATTTTCTTCCCGACATTGGTGAGAAAATAATCGTGATAAGTAATTTTTTAATTTTTGACAAAAAGAAACATTAAAAAATGGTGAAATATTGTATTGTGAGGAAATGGTTTAGTAGCAGATTAGATGAGCAAATGGTTTAGTATCTAATCGGAAAAATATACTGAAAATGACTTTTATTGAGACAACATTGCAGCGCCTCACTTATTTTGTCCATATTTCTGGGATACTATTTTCTACAGCGATTGTTCACTTCATGGAGTATAGAGGCAAGGAGGACAATCACCCATAGGAGAATAGTTGAAAATGTGTCCATATGTAAGCAGTAAATAACAGTTCAAAAACTCTCCACAACAATGCGCGAGTAGCTAGAGGGTATGATAAAACACCGTAAAATACTTTGAGAGTGATATTGATAGTAAAAATTTTGAAAGCAATTAAATAATTATTGTAAAAAAAATATGGTGAAAGTTTGTGCAACAAAAAATTACAAACAGTTCCTTAAAATTTAAACTGTAGCTACAATGGTGCTTCCCTTATTTAGCGCTTTCCTACGGACACTTTTTTATACAGAGTCTGTACTCCTTACCTCTACACTCCATAGTTCATCTTTTCTCTAACCTCCACTACACTTCAACTCCATGACTTGGATCTTGGAGCATAGATTATTGTAAAAAACTTGGAGCATTTACAAGTATTATTTATTGACTGGAGGTAGGCAGTAATTAATAAATAATGTTGGAATACCGGGCGTTATTGTTAAAAATTTCAAGATACCCATAGCTGCCACGTTACCCGCCGACTTCGGCCGACGCTCTGCGATTGACACGGCAGCTACTTTACACCCTTATTCCAACATTAAACGTCCTATGACTCAAAAAGTATGGACATTAATAAAAAAATTGAAACAAAAGTTTTAGAGAGTAAAATGATCTTTAAAAACGAATTTATGCATTTTATTGATTAATCTAAGAGTTATTGGCCGCGATAGAAAAACCGGTTCATTAAATGGACTATAAATCGTAAACGGTAAGTTTTACAGTTTACTGGAAACAAAAGATGTGGAATTTTATTTTCGGCAATAATTATTTCTATAAATTTTGCCTCAAAGTGCATAGTTTCCTAGATATCAGCTGAAAACCTTTCTTTCAAGATGGCGCTTGAAGTGCCACCTGGATTTGTCAGCATTTTGTGATTTTGTGCTCAGTATGTGATCCTAAACCTTATAAAAAAATAAAATTGGACCGGAAATTTAGTGCAAAGTTAAATTCTAATTTTACTGTACCATTTCATT